AGAAGTTATGTAATATCAAATTTTAAAAATAAGTAGTAATGATAATACAAATAATAGTAGTGTTAATGATAATAAATAAATCGACTCTGCTCAAGGGGGGACAAACCAATTAGGTACTACTACATTCAGGATAATATGATGCTAGATTAGCCGATAACACCAACCAGCCCGATGCTATACCACTAAGCTAAACGGGAATTACCTGACGCTTGTAAGGCAACCTAATCGATGCACTTCTTTTACACCACTCCTTCCGTATCAGCAGTAGTTTACACCCAATAGGGTTTCCACCTTTTGGTCTCTAGCATTACTAGTGAGCACTAGAAGGACGAAACAGCTGAAAAGTAGTGTTTTTAATCTACCAAATCACTGAAGAATTTGATTAGCGACTGGATGCTATGACAAGAACATCAACTTGCACAATTTACTTCAGCCCCGTCATAGATATGTAAAGTTCCGTCGTTTATAGATAAATACGAACTTTAGAATAGGTAGGAAGTGTCATGTAGGTTCCAATAGGGGACTGTATAGCTATAGAGTTGGCAAACGTTAACCCTTTCACCTCTATGTAACTTTAAGTAACCCTACCATTAATTGATCTGAATAAGTCCATTATGGCCTACAGTGGTGAAAGAGTAAAAGAAGCAGAAAGCCTCGATTATGCTTCCAAACACGAGTCAGTTTAAGCAAAGGTATGGAAGGATCCCCATACCACTGCCGAAAACATTATAAACCTGTTTGAAACTGTTTTTTCCGGCATAAATATGACTTTGATAAATCATTTCTGGAAAACAAAACCATACACAAGAAGTGTCCCGGTACAACGTTTTCTATTCCGTCTTTGCGTATTGCAGAGTTATCTTCTCTTGTGAGCAGGTATTGATTGTTACGTCATTGGTTTGTGTGAGAAAATTACGTCGTTTTCATAAAATTGATGACGTTACTCTCACAAACCAATGACGTAACAATCAATACCTGCTCACAAGAGAAGATAACTCTGCAATACGCAAAGACGGAATAGTTATATCCAAATAAAAGTTACTAAATACATGCAAAATCACAGTGCAGTGGGACAGTGATACTTAATGAGGGAAGTCAAATCTAATATGAATAATCAGACAGTCCGGTAAAGTTAATTGAATTGAAAGAAAGGACTTTATCATGATGTGTCCGTTTTGTTGTTCTGATTATTTCACATTAGTACCCAAATCATGAGCATTCGTCCTACTTTCTAAAACATGTACAACGCATGTTGACAAAGCAATTTTATTTGAAAATCATTAATGCTATAATTATACAAACCGTTGACTGATAGCAGATCAAAAGATACAGCGATTATCTACATTAAGTCTACCCAATCTACCCAATATCTGAAACCGTTAGGTTAAAACAGCAGGTAAATCTGTTTCAATGTTAATCGACATTTTCTTCTCCTTCTAATGTGATCTACATAAGTAATATTCAAAAACACAATAAAAAGCTTGACTTTCAGGCAAGTAATATATCAAGTCAAGATGGTTATTTCAAGAATCAGGTTAAATATATATATGGGTTAAAAGTCAGAGTGTAAATCTAGAATACCAGGTAAATATACATCAGTTATATCAACAGTCAAGCAGGTTATCTCAAATATCACGTAGACTATATCAATAACATCAAAACCAAAGAAAAAACAGATTGATATCAGTTAAATTATGTATCAGTAATATCGGAGGCAGGATGGTAAACTCGAGTATCGCGTAAATAAGATCCGAAACATCCAAACACAGAGAGAACAGATAGATATCAGTTAATTTATATATCAGTAATATCGGAGGCAGGATGGTTAACTCGAGTATCGTGTCAACTAGATCTGTAACATCCACAGACAGAGAGAAAATATGGATATCAGTTAAATCAATTATCAGTAATATCGGAGGCAGGATGGTTAACTCGAGTATCGTGTCAACTAGATCTGTAACATCCACAGACAGAGAGAAAATATGGATATCAGTTAAATCATATATCAATAATATCGGAGGCAGGATGGTTAACTCGAGTATCGTGTCAACTAGATCTGTAACATCCACAGACAGAGAGAAAATATGGATATCAGTTAAATCATATATCGGCCATATCCAAAGGCAGGGTGGCTAACTCGAGTATCGCGTAAATTAGATAAATAATATACAAAGACAGGCACCAAACACTACAACTTCAACTTCGACGGATACTGCAGCAGTCTTGACCGATTCTTATGAGACAATGAATTCTGACCCTTCCTTCAACCCCGCCTTCAACTAGAGTGACTATATGCCTACTGACGCCCAGTGAACATTTAGTAAAAGAACTATCTTGAACAGTGTAGTATTGAACGTAAAATGTTTTGTAACTTGTAAAGCTTGTAAACTGTTTGGAATATTATAAAAAGATAAACATAATTTTATTAATCTTCAGCTCGTCCTGGCTGAAGGTGTTCATTTTTACCGATTTTTGCATTGTGTGGCTATTATCTTGAAAAAAATAAGAGATGGATAATAAATGTAAATTGTACAAATATTTGGTACGACTATTTCAACTAGATTTGAAAATCAAGACAGTATTTAGGGCTAAGATTTTCCAGGTGAGCGATTCAGGCTCCTAGGTTGTTTTTTTTTTTTTAAATATTCATCTATACATTTTCAATTATTATCAATAATAAAATAAAATCCAAATTAAAATACAGTACAATAAGTCCCTTTAAAATTTCATAAACTTGAGTCAAACCTTGTTCTCCTGCCATTCCACTGCTCCTGCTTCGGAGTAAAAGTACTCTTTAAGATAGTTCCTTTGTACAGTACCAGCAGCGTTGGCAACATTTATCTGATAACCTGCATCTCCGTCAGCAAGTTGCGCACCCTGTCTCCATTGTCCCTCAACTAGGTTGTGACTGTTGTATTCTTCATCAATATACTGGTGTAGTGCAGCACGTCGTCTGATCCTTAATGAGCTGTGAATGGTAGTACAGGCCAAGACGATGAAATCTACTGTTTCTGGTACTTGTTGCATAGTTATTATAGTTCCATAGTTACAAGCAGAATTGAGTATGGTTTAATCATCCATGATCTGAGTGGAAAGGCATCATCACCAATCAGAAAGTAGTAAGTCTCTCTGTCAGCATGTGGAAGGGTAGATGATGGTGGAAGGCCCAGAGTTCCTTCCTCTAGCATTTCTGGCCATCAGAGGAACTTCCATATAAACCAACACTCAACCAAATAAACTTATAGTCCGCATCCACTAGAGCCATCATCACCATGGAGATGAAATTATTGTAGTTGTAAAACAACGTAAGCAGGTTTCTTGATACTAATGTGTTCTATGTTCAGCTCATGCAGGGGATGATCATACTGCCCAAAGAGGGTCCTGCGGGCCAGCCAGGTCCTGTACCAAAACCTTCTGCGAGCGGGACGCCTCCTCTGCCATCCAACGCACCGCAAGAGTGTGGAAGGTTCCAGACTCTTACAAACCCGGCTGATATGCGCAACCAATCTTCCTCTGTGATGTTGCCTTGCATGACTTCTTCTTTGTAAGCTGAGTAAATTGCTTCGCAGACTTCAGCTACGAAGAGTGAAATGGAGTTTCGGGCCACACGGAAGGCATACATCAGATCTGCAAAATTCGTACCAGTAGCTTAATGCCTGAGTGTTACAGCTAACTTCAGTCCAGGCTCAAGTGGCTTCCGGAAAGTAGACACATTGTATGCATGTTTAAAATGCAATGACAATGGCAGCTTTATATCCAATATTAGCAAATTTACTTTATATAAAATTATTTAGAAAATTAACAAATACTAGTATGTACCTGAAAGGTGTGGACTCGTTCTTGATAGCAGGGGTAGCCCTGTCAAGAATCTCTCCAAACAGATCAGCATCAACTATGAGAAAGTTCTCATAACCAGCAAAGTCTTCTATGTTCAGCTCATGCAGGGAATGATCATACTGCCCAAAGAGGGTTCTGCGGGCCAGCCAGGCCCTGCACCAAAACCTTCTGCGAGCGGGACGCCTCCTCTGCCTCGGCCGAGGAACATCTATTTGCTGCTGGGCATCTTCCTCTTCCCTAATATGTCATGTTGTCTCTCTGAATGTCAGTTGTCGAATCATGATACATACTTTTTTTGCGAAAAACATAAGGAATCGTAATAGTATTCGTAACAACACATTAACAGCTTGTAATGTACAAAAGCTTAGATGAATCGTAACATTCCGTAATATACTCGTAACAATCCATAAAAAGCTCGTAAAATGTCATAACTTGCTCGTATTTTTCCGTGGTTACTCGGAACAAATCGAAGAATTTTGCCGAAAATACATTGTAATAAATCGTAACCCAGATAGCAGACATACGTTGGCCCAACGTTGGCTGTTGGTCGTTTGGTTGGCCTTACGTCGGCGTTGGCTTAATGTTGTTGGCCCAACGTTGGCTGAACGTTGTAAAACCAACCGTTAATTCCCATGTGTTGGGCCAACGTTGGCTGGATGTAGGACAACTAACAATTAATTCCCATGTGTTGGTCCAAGGTTGGCTGGATGTAGTAAATCTAACAATTAATTTCCATGTGTTGGCCCATCGCTGGCCCACTGCCTATGTCTTATGTGAAACAATAATTGCATAAAATAATAATTACACTCGGCCAAGCACTATTCAACTGATATCAATTACAAAATATTTGGTAATAACTTAACTGAAAGAATTTCTTTTTGTTATTTTTTATAAACAATAAATAAAAGACGTACATATCGAACTTATTGACATGCTTTATAATATGGATTTCTTATTTTCAAAATAATACCTACAAGAGCACTCAATGTTTTGGTATGATCTGATTACTCTTGAGCTCGTACATGCATACCGCCAAAACCAGAACCCCAGTGTGAGTTACATATGTATCTGATATCATCACCTCAGGACATGTCCAAGTACACGTGTAGGCACGGCCTATAGATCACATCTCAGATTACATGTAGGTCAGCTGCTTTCTCCCGTCACTGGACCAGACCTTTATAATTGTGCACACACAGCAGACCGTGATTTGTACACAGACTAAGAAGATTCACTGCAGCTGTGATTTTCATATTTTAATGTAAGTATATATATGTGTTAATAGACAATTGTATGATATGGTTATCATCATAAGTATTATAGTGTTGTACCTCTTAAAATAACTTAATTTTCTCAATAACTAACTTAATTGAGCTGCATGTGAATGTCCAGTTGACCTACAAATATACGGTACATATTGTATATACGTACACTATATATAACTTACTATATATTCTACAAATAATCTTTGATGAAGGTTGTAATTTATTACATGTATGCAACAGGCGGGTATGGTATGGGTACATATATATTCATGCTTTGTATATAGTACCATGCCGGTATGAATATCGTCATTATATCCATGTGTAATATATATATACATGTAGTGTGTGTGTGTGTGGAAGGAAAGTAACTCTTAGACTACATTCCAGAACTATTTTGTTTATATACTGTAAATATTACATTATAGCTCACTATGGGTGGGGGTCCGTGCCAAAAATGACATAAATTTAAAGCATTTTACCCATAGCTTACTGAAAGTGTTTTCTAATACAAAATGCGAAAGAAATTACCTTATAGACATATGCAGAGGCCTTAATTATCATCCTGCATATGTTATGGTTATGCTATTTCTTTTGTAGAGATTCCATTTAACAATCAAGTTTAATTGGACAGGGAAGAAGTTAAAAAAAGGCTTCTCAGCCCTCAAGTTCACGAAAGTTATAACTCGTAAGTAACATCATTGTTGAATTGATAAAGTAGGTGAACCACCAGTTCATGGTTACTTTACCTGTCTGTTCGCCTGTCGAAATAGATGTAATTATATTAATATGGTATGACTCTGTCCTTTTATCAGCTGAAATCTTGTTCCCACAATTTATTCAGACTTAGTGCATAGTACAAACAAGGCATATCGTTAGGTGTTAATTTGTTTAACGAGGGTTGTAGCTACATGTACCTACATTGCACGGTAGAATAAGAATTCAGAATTGGTTCTGTGTATTTAGGGCACTGACACAGTTATTTTTTACTTCAACTTTTAAAGGGTTAAAGACCGTTATTATAATTTCTGAACATTGACCTATAGAAGCAATCTTTCTATTGCAATCCTAAAATGACATTTTAATTCAAACTTAGTTGTACATAGATTAGCAGGGAAATTGTTTAGGGTCATTTGCAATTTTTACCTTACAAATTTAACTATGGTGTAGAATTTTTGCACAATGAACTAGGAACACTTTCCTTTTTACACATTTAATGTAACCATGTTTTTTAAGGCGCTGTACGAAAAACCCGCCTTACGACAAAGGCCACTGACAATGAAGTTGACAATATAGCCAAAGACTGGTTGAGGTATGCAGGGGACCGAGAAGGGGGCAGACAAAAATAGAAGAAATTAAAAGACAGAAAGAGGCGGCGACAGCTGCACTGATGGCATCGGCTACCGATCATCCAGTGTAAAAAATAAAAAGATGGATATGAACTAATTTATATCACTGTTTGTTTTCTTATTATCAGGCACCAATATTTTATTCATTTCTCATTTCCTGCTTTCCCAGTATTCTTTCTTTCTGTCTTTTCTTGTGTCTATCTTGACATCATCCTTAAAAAAACTTAGTTGTTTATAGGACGGAAAGCCCACTACGAACAAAACACTAAAATACAGCATTGTACCAACGTTGGCCCAGCAAACGTTGTTCGTTGGTGTAACGTTGGCCCAACGTCAAATATGCACTACAATTAAGCATTGGCCCAACGTTGACCCAACATAGTTTTATAGTTGGCACAACGTTGGCCCAACGTTGTATCCGAATCAAGTAGTCGTTGGGCCAACGTTAGTCCAACATGCTGGGCCAACATTGGGCCGATTTGCAAAAGGATGTTGGCCCAACGTCATTTTCCAACGATGGCCCAACCAAACCTGATGCATTGGGCCAACGTTGGGCCAACGTATGTCTGATATCTGGGAAGTGGCTCGTAATTACTCATAACCACTCGCTCGTAACCATATCGCTCATAAAAGTGGCCAAATCGTTCGAATCCGTGCGCTTTTATGAATTTGTGCTATACGTAAGGATTCGTTAGAAAAATCCGTGTATGGAAAGGTAGCATAAGACAGTAATCTTGAGGTATCGAGTAAATTTTATATCAGTGATATCCAAAGGTCTGGATAGTGATATGATATTATGTACAAAATCTTTCTGCTATATTCAAAGACAGAGTGGGAGTCTAGATTATCATGTTTAATTATAAGAATTGTCCATACATAGCACCGAAACAGACAGGACACATGCAACACAGCTCCTTAAATCGAAATCAAATCACCATCACAACGATATGGTATTCGTAAAATGGAGCATATACTGACTGGAAACGGTGTTACATGCATTATTTCCATAGCCATTCATATGCAGATTATCTCAATTTTAAAGTTATTATCCATAAATGTACTGTCAGTTGCGAAAGCCGTAGCACAAATAGTATAATATTTCAAAAAAAATATAAATTATCCTACATACGCAAAGATTGAGTACAGCGTTTAAAATACTGTTAAGAGCGTCTCACCTAAAATCCTGTGATAAACATGTTTTTTACGGATTGATCGCGATCTTGTGACAGGCCGTAAGCATGTCATGTGACGTCTAATATGTGTAATTGTTTTATGACAATATACATAAAAGCAATTATAAACCCTCTCATAGTTTACTTCAGGATCATACCCGCTGTATAGAGGTACGTTATATATTGTTTGTAGAACCTATTTTTATGACTGTGATTGTAGAGTGATACGGTAATATTAAGATATAGCTACACGTTAACAGAGCAATTAATGTCAGCCCTCGATCAAACATAACGTATTTCACATACATATGCTTTAGACAGTACGAATGGAGCTGGGGCAGATTTCAATTTGAGGTATTGTTCCTTCCAGACATATGATCCATACTGAGTTTGCTACAATGTTGATTTTAGGTACAACCGAAGAGATAGTTGAGCTTACCATTATGACGTTGGGTATTTCTGATGTTAAGTAAATGATATTGCCTTTCTAACCTTGAGCATTGTGTGAGTTAGGAATGTAACTTTAGTAGGATATCATTTTAAGAAATATTGTAAAATAAGTAAATCGGAACATTGAGACACATTTATTACGTTTTGTGTTTCCAATTGTTCTAATACATATATATGAACGATTTCTGTGTAGATATTAATTTTTTGAAAATACAAAGAATAAATGAATTCCAAAATTAACCTGATAACTTTTAATAAATGATTAATGGTTTGTCTAAGTTATAGAACATTCTAATCATAAACCTTTTCAACATCAACTACCTGTATTTTGAAATAGGACGAATATTCGTGATTTCGTTAATAATGTGGGAAACTCATATTTACGAAACCGATATCTTCTTTGGTGGATTAATACAAAATAAATATTCCAGTTACCTAAGCTGGCTAAGATGTATATGAAGGTATCAAGAACGGATCTAACGATTGTTAAAAAAGTGAAATTATTTTATTGGCAAAAATTTAAATTCTTAAGAATAATATAATCTTTTACATTATTATATTATAAAATTAGTACTTTACATTATGGAATGATCATTATGATTTTATTGTTTGTTTACGATTAAAAAAAAACTTTTTTTTCCTCAAATGTAAGACTTGTTTGGAATTCCTTCGTCAGGATTTTTTAGTGACAAATATTGAATTTCGCTGAAATGAATTTTCGAACGGTTTCCACTTCGAACAGATAAATCTGGTTAAATTATATTACATTAATTCGAGTTTTGTGTATTATTGATAGAAAACACGAAAAACGTATGGAACAGTACAAATTGATTTGATATGAAAATCAAGAAAGTGACTTAGCCTTAAGCCACCAGGGACCACACAGGATCTGATCGATTTGCGCTAACGAGGCAACCGAAACGCCAACCGTCTAGTCGGGCGATCCTGCGGGCTATCCAAATCGACCGTAGCAGCCCCCATGGTGTAGAACTTTTCCATGAACCTTCTTTATGTTTTAAATTTCAGAGATACACTCCTCCTAATTATACTAATTATTCATGGCGTTCAGAATTTATATGATTTATCAAATTAATTATGAATATATAGATATCCCTTTACTAACAATTTGAATACATATGTGGAAATGTCGCATAAATTAATTAATGTTACTATCATAAGATTAATTGCAAACTCATAGGTAAGTTTTGGATAACGCATTGTTTGATGTATATTCATTGTTAAAAGTGTCGAGTCAATGTAGATAACTTGTAAATGGTTGAATCCCCGTCTTTACCCTCCATGCCTACAATACACAAATGACACACACAGAATCACGTGCTGCTGAATAAATTAAGGTGTTTTGCCGTGAGGGCATAGATTACATGTCTATAATGGGAAAATTATGAAAAACGTTTCCATTTATCTTTCTTCAGGCAAATATTCATTGAATTGAATATAGGGTCTACATGATATGCGCAGATGTAAAGGAACTACCGCACATATATCTTCTTAGGTGGTCATACAAAGACTCATCGCACGAAACACAGGAATCAGATGATTGCATGATACTTCACACTGGGAGTTATAGGGAGCTTTACAGGAGACATGTGACTCATTACTAAGTTGACAGATATTCAAAAAGACGATACTGTGGCAGAACGCTGACCAATTAAACACCATCAACAATAGGTTATGTAATGGATTCACTCTTTACCTGACACAATTGTATCGATTCTTACCTACGGAATGGATTATTCTTATTTCCCTGTGGTTTGATATGGATCTTATTTATTATCACCATACTAGATAAAAAGTTTCGATAGGAGTAAGACAGTTATTGGTTTGTGTCAATTACACGTGATATGCTCGGTGAAGAAAATGATCGGTTGTTTGTGGTATATACAAGTGTCTCAGAAAGTGTAGTTATCATGGAAACGTTTTTCTGAAACCTTAACCACTAAGTAAGTACCCCAAACGAAGTTTGGGTAGTTATTGTTTTTACTCCGATTCTTCTTATTATTTTTCTTCCTCCTTCTTCTTCCGCTTTCCGGCGTAAAGGTTTCCGACACTTTTCTCAGAAACTATAAGTCGGATCTTCACCGAACTTTGAGGGATTATTACTGATAGCCTCTAGATGTGCAAACACTTTTTTGTTTTTCCGATTACCATCCAAGCTGGCCGCCATGAATTTTTGAAAATTTTGTGAATTCAAAATTTCTAAAGGTGTTCGCTAAAGATAGCCAATGTCACCTATCCTATTTTACATGTTTTATAGATATTTTTTCCAATGCATTCCAAATTTGGCATTAAACAATGACATCCGTTTTCTAATTAGACAAAATAGCTGCCATATACTGGTTACTGATTGGTCGAAACTCTGTTATTGTTCGATTTCGTTCAAATTTAGTATGTATGTGTAATATGGCATTGCAATCTCATCTGCGACATTTGTTTTCTAATTTGACAAAATGGCCACCATATACTGGGTTCTGATTGGTCGAAATTTATATATTGTCTGATTGTTATGAAAATTGGTATATAGGGGTATTGGGGGACTGCTAATTCAACTGCATAGGTTTCGTTGCCATACAAACAACATGGAAGCTTCAGATTGGTCGAAATTCAGATATTTTTCGATTTCACTCAAATTTAGTATGAATGTGTTTTATGCCATTGTGATCCTTTTCTGATGTATTTTTGCGACTATGGGGGGCAGTTTGGGGGACTTCTGTAATGGTCCCCCATTACAATTAGTACTTGTTAGACATTGCATTGATAAGAGACTTTGAATAATATGTGGGTTTTTTTTTTTAAACAAAACATTTTTCGACAAGTTTTAGCTCTTTGAAGTCAATATTTGCAGCATGCTATATAACACTCTTCAGAAAATAAAATGTTCGTGTAAAACAAAAGTAACATATTGTGATATATGATAGTATGAATAACATAAGGTCTATTAAAACAGATAGATATGCTTTATATCGTTCTTAAATTATATTCCGTAAAATCTTCTAAAACAACCACTGGGTAAGACAAGTAATTCTATAAGCTTTCTTGTCTGATCGGGAAATCGAACCTTAATTGAAAAAAATTATGCCTGGCGTAAAACATTGCAAACATCTTCACAAATAAAAAGCATCCCATTGTCCAGCAATTGTTCAAGTGAAACCTATATATATATAGTAACCCATTCAAAAATAATATATTCATATCACTCTAAAAGGCAATATCACCATTATTTGTTTCATACTTCGAAAGACATATACTTATAGGACAATTATTATTCTTCAACATGTTATATGATTGATGAATCACATGATAGATTGACAAAATGTAAAAACAAAAAAAAACAAAAAATATTACGAAAATAGTAACAGGTTCATCACACAGGTTTTCAAAACAATGCATAAATGGAACCCTTCCTTTTAAAACATATTCCTTCTCTGTCACTCCCTAACAATCGATA